TTTGAAGTCTACTTTGTCAGAGATAAGTATTGCTACTCCTGCTGTTTTCGGGGGCCATTGGCTTGGTAAATCTTCTTCCAGCCTTTCATCCTAAGCATATGCTTATTTCTGTCGGTGAGATGAGTCTCCTGTAAGCAACAAATTGTTGGATCTTCTTTTTTAATCCATTTTGTCAAACGGTGTCTTTTGATGGGTGAATTAAGTCCATTAACATTAAGCGTTAGTACTGATAGGTATGTGGTGATTCCTGCCATTTAGTTGTCTTAGTTGTTTGAAGGTTTGATTGTGTGTACCTAACTTGATGTTACTCTCTACTGTCTTGCTTTTTCTTATCCTGTGGTTTGGTGCTGCCTGCCTTTTCATGGTTAAGTTGGGTGTCACTTTCTGTGTGCAGGATCCCTTGCAGAATCTTTTGTAATGGTGGCTTTGTGGTCACATATTGTTTTAGTTTCTGCTTATCATGGAAGACTTTTATTGCTCCATCTATTTTGAATGATAGCTTTGCTGGGTAGAGTATCCTGGGGTTGAAGTTATTTTCATTCAGTGCCCGGAAGATCTCACCCCACGCTCTTCTTGCTTTTAATGTTTCTGTTGAGAAGTCTGCTGTGATTTTGATGGGTTTACCTTTGTATGTTACTTGTTTTTTCTCTCTTACAGCCTTCAATATTCTTTCCTTAGTTTCTGAACTTGTTGTTTTAATGATGATATGTCGTGGAGTAGTTCTATTTTGATCTGGTCTGTTTGGTGTCCTGGAGGCCTCTTGCATTTGTATGGGAATATCTTTCTCTAGATTTGGGAAATTTTCTGTTATTATTTTGTTGAATATATTACGCATTCCCTTCGCTTGCACCTCTTCTCCTTCTTCGATGCCCATGATTCTCAAGTTTGGTCTTTTGATGGAGTCAGTGAGTTCTTGCATTTTCTTTTCACAGGTCTTGAGTTGTTTAATTAATAGTTCTTCGGTTTTTCCTTTAATTACCATTTCATCTTCAAGTTCTGAGATTCTGTCTTCTGTTTGTTCTATTCTGCTGGATTGGCCTTCCATTTTGTTTTGCAGTTCTGTTTCATTCTTTTTTCTGAGGTTTTCCATATCCTGGCAGTTTTCTTCTTTATTGTTGTCTATTTTTGTCCTGAGTTCATTTATCCATTTATTCATTGTGTTCTCTCTTTCACTTTGGTGTTTATACAGTGCTTCTATGGTTTCCTTTATTTCTTCTTTTGCTTTTTCAAATTCTCTATTTTTATTTTCTTGGAATTTCTTGAGTGTCTCCTGTACATTTTGGTTGACCCTATCCAGTATCATCTCTATAAAATTCTCATTGAGTACTTGTAGTATGTCTTCTTTTAAATTATTCTTGTGGGCTTCATTGGGTCCTTTGGCATAGTTTATCTTCATTTTGTTGGAGTCTGGATCTGAGTTTCTGTTCTCTTCATTCCCCTCTGGTTCCTGTACTAATTTTTTGCTGTGGGGAAACTGGTTTCCTGTTTTTTCTGTCTTCCCGTCATTGTCCTTGGTGTTGTTACTGTCCCTGTACTGTGTGTAATTAAGTATTTCTAGCTTGTAATAATAACAATGGTAATATTTAGAATGGAAGGTGAGCTGAGATGGAAAGCAAGAAGTTAAAGAAAAGGGGAAAACAAATATACAGACAAGAGGGAGAAAGCAGAACAAGGTATCAGACAAGAGAGTTTCAAAGGTATAAACAGGGAGTGTTAGTGTACTAATCGACAGTAAGCTGAACAGACATTAGAGAGACAGAGAGAGGATTGAAAATCAAAGATAAAAAAAATAAAAAATAAGTAAATGAAAGTAATATCTATATATAAAAATGAATTAAAATAAAATGGAAAATAGAAAAAAAAAAAAAAAACCAAAAAACTTCCAAGTTTATATGCAATGCAGTTTCAGTCTTAATAATTTGGGTGTCCGTCTCAATCTCCAGTCCTGGAGATGGTGCCTCAGATGTTGTTCTGTAGTTGTCTCATCAAAGGGGATGCATAAAGTAGAACAAAACTACACACTCACACACACACACACACACAAAAAAAAAAAAAGCCCCACCAAGTGTCCCCAGTTCAAATGCAATACAGTTTCAGTAAGTTTTTCGGCTTGCAGGTGTAATTCGGTTGTTCTCTCATCAAAGGTAGGGAGAAAAAGAAAAAAAAGCATCTGGAGACAGTTCTGAGAGTGGTATCTGCAACTGTGGCTTGCCTGCCTGCTGCTCTCAGCCTGTAGCTGGCGGCGTTATTTATGCAGATCTCTGGGGTGAGCTTAGCACTCACCTGGTCCCACAGGCTTTGTTTGCTCAGAGTTCTCCTGTGCGGGAGCCTCTGCTACAGGCTTTCCCCTTTCCAAGCACTGGGAAAGGTGACACTGCACCCGCGTTGTCAGGCCTGCGTGTTTATTTACAGTCCATGTGGGAGGTGGGTCTTCCCCCCTCTCCTTTGAAGTTTTCCTCCCACTGCCACTTACAGAAGCTTTCCTGCTCCTGCTTACTGGGCGGTGCTGCTGCTCCTGCCAGCCGCCATGTTTGTTTACAGTTCACAAGGGAAGTGGGTCTTCCCTCCTCTCCTGTGGAGTTTTCCTCCCTCCTCCACTCTCACAAGCGTCCCCGCTCCTGGTTGCTGGGTGCGCGCCCCGCTCCCGCCAGAGCCTCTCCGGCCCGCCCGGCTTGTTTATTTACAGTTCTGGGAAGGATTCCCTTCCCCCAGTCTTCAGCGCTCAGGGCGCCCTACCCTCTTTCCAGCGTGTCTTAACTGTTCTTATTGCTTAGTACTCAGTTTCTCTTTTTTTCCCGGGTGGAGGTCAGTCTGTCCAGGGGGCTATGCTTCTCTGGCCCAGGCTTGTCTGTGGGGCTACCGCGGTACCACGAAGCTCACCTGGTCCGCGTCTTCCCAAGCCGTCTGGGCGCCGGCCACTGGCGGCCCGGGGACCTCCTTGGTTCTCCGTTTAACGTGAAGTGGAGATTCTCTGCACCGGCTGGAGATGTGGAGGAGTCAAAGTTATGCCTTTTCTCGGTGATTATGCCTGCAAAGTGTGTCTCCAGCGTCTCTCCAAGATTTCACTATAGGAAGCTCTCTTTCTGCTTCCTCCCTGTAGCCGCCATCTTGGAATCTACTACATGGCCATTTCTAAGAGTTTCCCCAGAGATGTCAGGGAAACCTCTTGGGTTCTAGTGCCAGTTGAGATACATTGAGTTCCCATATTATTGGGATAGGAACCAGATTGAAATGGGCCATGAGAAACCCTGACGGGCCCAAATTATCACAAATGAAGGGCCAAAGCCAGATAAGCACTGTGTTGGGCATCTTATTCTGGTATGAGGTTTATAAGCAAGGAAGAGTAGTTAAGCTTTCCAGTGAATTCTGTTCATTTATTTCCTGTCTCAGTTATTAAGTTTAGAGCTTGTTTTTTGTGGACAGTGACTCTAGCAAATATATTTGCATTTCTGTAGTTCATATTTCATATATTATGTACTTTCATGTACTTAAATAAGAGAAGTGAAGATATTTTTCAGTCTTAGGAAGAGAAATCATAAGCAAAATCATATTTTCCTTCTGTGGACATGGGACGAGGGTTTTTTGTTGTTGTTTTTGATAGTACTGGGATTTAAACTTGGCTTTGTGTCAGATAGGCAGGTGCTCTACCACTTGAGCCATGCCTCTGGCCCTTTTTGCTCTGCTTATTTTTGAGGTAGGGTCTCACTTTTTGCCTAGGCTAGACTGGACTGTGGTCCTCCTATTTTACCCTTCTTGTCATAGCTGAGACGATAGGTGCTGGCTCACCACCACGCCTGGCTTTTTAATGCTGAGATGGGGGTCTCGCAAACTTTTTTGCCCCAGATGGCCTCAAACTCAATCCTCCTAATCTCAGCCTCCCATGTAGGTAGGATTATAGGCATCAGCTACTGGCACCTGGCTGGAGTGGGTTTAATCTTTGTGCTTTACACCTGCGTATTTATGCATATTAAACATGTTAGCTGAAGAGAGTGATGATAGTGGAGCAACTAAAGCTAAAATTCCACTCATTTCTGCATCAGGGAATAACAAATACGTTAACAAATTTGGATTTGGTTTAATTTTTGCCATGTGATTTAGAAGTCTTTTGTAGAGATAATGGGAATGCATCTTGAACTTTCTTTTGTTAGCTATTATTAGAACCATGTGTACAGATAGCATCTTGAGCTAGCTTAAGCAAGAAAAGGAAAAAAAATGAAGGAATTTGTTAGAAAGAATATTGGGAAATCCCACTGGATCTGTGAACCAGGAGCAACTCTGGAATGGACCAGAATCAGTAACTGAGGCCCTGTGAGAGGCCTTTTTTCCATTGCTTTTCTCTGCCTCTCTCCGCATATCAGGTTCATTTTGGATTGGCTACAGACTACGTTCTCCCTTCCTCAATCCAGCAGCAAAGTATAGGTACCAGCACCTCTTGAATATACAGACATGTAGAAACTCAACCCTGTTCTAGCCTCTGAATTTCTAGAGACAGCTGATTGTGCCTAATCTCCTGATTGATTAGCTGTGGCCAATGGGATGGGAAACTCTTCCGGGTGCAGCTCTTCCCACAAAAACCAGGTGAACAATGAAGAGTGGTAATGTTCAGAAAGGAGAGGATGCTGGGTAAATAGATATTTATGAAGTGTTCTCAACACAGACACAAACAGAAAATTTGCTTGACATAAAGTGCCTTTATTAAGAGTGTGCATGAGTAGAAATACTGGTGTTTTATCTGAACTCCTTATATTTCTTACCGGTTTTAACTCTCATTTCCACTTGCTGCTGGCTGTCATCCAGGTATCAGGTAGTACTGAAAGTAATAAATTTAATATTAACACATGTGAATAAAACCTTATTTAATGAATTTACTAATTGTTATGCCTGCTGTGAATGTTGATGAATATGTAAGACAAAAACACACTTAATTTGTCTATTGTTTAAAAATCCAAGATACTCATTTGACTGCTGTTAAAATAACCATTTTTGTATTTTGGTTTTAGCTAAATAAAGAAAATAAAACACTGAAAAGACTCAGCATGCTATACATGGCCAAGCTGGGACCAGATGTAATAACGGAGGAGATAAACATTGACGACGATGATTCAACCACGGATACTGACAGTGCCACCGAGACCTGTGTGTCAGTCCAGTGTCAGAAGCAAATCAAAGGTGAGACTTGGGGTTTGACTCCTGTTATGACAATGCTTCTTAACCCTGACTGCACATTGCACAAATCCCATGAGAACTTAAGAACAAAATGTGGACACCTAGGTCTTAGCACCCAAAAATTCTGACTTAATTGACCTGAGTTGGAGGGCTCCTAGTTGAGAATCACGACAGGGAATAACATTTGTGCTTTGCAAGCTGCTTTCTTTTTTGGAATTAGGCACTTTTGAAAGTGTTGTCTGAATAGAATCAGACAGTTGCCATATCTCTGAGAATGCAGATCACATGTTAAGGTAGTTTTGTTAAGTGACTATGGATAAACATATATGTAGCAGTGGCTTGGGGTGTAGCTCAGTGGTAGAGAGGAATCTGAGTATGTGCAAAGCCCTGGATTTAATCCCTAGCACCGAGGGTGTGTGTGTGTGTGTGTGTGTCTGTGTGTGTGTGTATTAGCCAATACCCTCTTTTTGTTTGGTTCTCTGTTGGAATCTTTGGGGAATATTCCTCCCCAAATTGCTTGGTCTCTGCCCTTCAGTATTTAAACAACTGTGATAGTCACAAGTAGGTTCAGTAAGACAAGATCATATGATACATCTCTTCAGTACATGTTAATTTTATTCATACATGTTGCTTATGTTAAGGGAAAATAGTTCTTGGTTCAATAACTGTTGGATCATTGAACTTATTATACATTCAAAAGGAGTACTTCTTATTTGGTAAAATTTCATGTGGAAGTATAAAGAAGAAAACCATGACTTTACCCAACTCTTCACCCCTTAAACTAACACAAAATAGAACTTATGGAGTAGGTAGGGAGAGGAAGTGAAAGCATTTCCTTTTGTTCATTATTCTTCTTTCTGTTAGGTCTTGAACAATGTAGTCTCATGTTCTTCCTTTTAGAATTAGCCAGCCAGTGGAGAAAGTGATTTAGAACTAAATTTCAGAATTTCTTCAAGCTGGGTTCATGTAAAAAGTTTAATTCAATTTATAAATAACCACATAGCAGGTTTCTTATTGCCCTTGGAGAAAGGAAGGAAATTAAAAGCAGTTAAAAACAAAGTGACAAAACAGTAGTCCTGGTATACACTGAAGTAGTCTGTGTTAATCCATGGATATTTTAAAGCATTTCAGTAGCAGGAATAACCTTACTCTAACTCGAGAAGCAGTTAGAGTAAGGTTACTTATGGCTGCTCGCATTCTCATTCTAGTGACAGATTTGTTTCATTAAATCCTAATAATAAAATACAGAAATAAATTAAGAAACAAAATATCCATAACTCTGGAGAGAAAATTACTAGAATTAGCCCTTCTTTATATTTTTAAGTCAGTTCAAACAATGTTTAAGGGCTATAAATTGGCAGTGAGTGAGTCAGGATTTTTTCCTTCAAATCTAAATATCCAAATTATTAACTGTCCAATTGTTTGTGTATATTATATTGTAGCAAGAGCCCATGGCCATTATGAAAAGAAAAAGAAAGTAGTACAATGCATTAATTTGTTTCTACTAAAAGCTTAAACATTTTTACTTCCAAAATGCCAGATCGTTTTCTAGAATGTGGGTTTGATACATTGCAAAGAAAACTTGATCTGGTACATTTAACATGGTGACATTGCCTGATATAAAATTATTAGTAATGATGGCCGTACAGGGAGGGGAACATTCAAACGAGATTCCGATTGTCCTCTGGTTCTTCGTTTCCTTTTTAATTGTTAAGTAAGCTTGACTGTGAGCTGTACGTGAACTGAAATATTCAATTCTCTTGACCAGATTGGTTTTTTCCTTTAAAAATAAGTCTGTATTTTTTCTTTTAAAAATGCAGAACTTCGAGATCAAATTGTATCTGTTCAGGAAGAAAAGAAGAAATTAGCTATTGAGCTGGAAAACCTCAAGAGCAAACTTGTAGAAGTAATTGAAGAAGTATGTATCTTAGGCCTTTAGTGTTTCAAAGTCAAAACCACTTTGGGGGCTGCTAAGCTAAAACCTTGGTATTAGAAGTTAATTTCTGACATGAACCACGAACCAATTTTAATCTTCTCTTCTCCCTCCTATTATAGACATACCGAAAGGTGTAGAAGGTAAGGTCACCACCATTGTAAACATTCATGTACCCACTGCCTAGGTTAATGAAACAGTAAAATAGCATTGGTGAGCTCCCTGTTGTCCCCTCCACTTTCTTATATGAGGTACATTTGAAAGAACCTGTAACTGCTGTTTCAGGTCACATGCTTTTATGGCTTCTGGAGAAGAAGGGAGAGTGTTTTGCGTCTCCAGTGGATGTCTGGCTCAATGGGGAAGGGCTGTCCCTCTGTGTACTCCCACACAGCCATAGATGATAGATAGCAGAGTGGTTCAAGTGGGGAGTTGGAGAATCTTTCTCTTTTTCCTCTGTAACTGTCTTTAAGAACTGTGACAGGATCACACAGTTACCTATGATTTGCACCAGTCTTCAAGCATCTCTTCACAATTTTGATTTAACTTGTGTCCCTGGCTGTCAGATTCTGTAGCCCAGTTTTCCCAGCTGATGTGCTCCAGTGCCTTGGCAACCCCTCAGATGGCTTGCAAGTGTGCCAGGCACTGACCCACAGTGAGCGACCTCATCGTTACCTGCACTTCCTCCATTCGCACACAGTGGGGAAAGGTTGGGAAGCAAGGCCCACCAGGATCCCAGCCCCAGCTGTGCTTCCTTTGTTTTGCCAAAGCATTGAAACAAACAGGAAAAAGAATGAGTTTATCTTGGGATAAACAGTGCATACCGCTTATTAATTTAACCCCAAAACAAAAATAGGGCTCATACTAAAAGATACCAGTTCACAGGCAATCCTGGAATAATTTCAGTGGGTCTCATTTTTATGTACATACACGTGTACACAACATGTGCACCGTATTCACCACCTGACACCCTTTCTCCATATCCCCTCCCCCTCCCACTGGTACCATTCCCCCAGACAGGACTGGTTCTGCCCCCCTGTTCTCAAGTGTAATGGTAGGAATGGGGCAGGAAACACTTTTAGGTTCAGTCTTTTCCTCAGTGGTGATTACTTATTGATGATCTCCCTCAACCCCATCCCGCCAGCCCTCCTAGAGGTGTTCTGAAAAGACAGTTGAGAAGTTATTTTCATCAAAATTTCAGATATCTGAAAAGGAATAAAGAACAAAAATCATAAGTATCGTAGCATAGTGATGGAACCCTGGGAGCCTCTCCCCAACTACACCCCTCCTCTGCCTGCCCAGTTCCCTAAACAACTGTCATTCTGACTGGTGTTTATCACTGCAAAATGTGTATTTATTTTAGTACAATGGGTAGCAATATGAGTGGTTTTAGGCAATGTAAATATACCTGCTTTTAAAATATATAGTATATTTGGGATTTATTCACCTTGATCTTAGATGGTTTCCATTTCTTAAAAACACTCTATAGCCATTTCTTAAAAACACTCTATAGTATTCTCTTCTAGTGATCAATGTTAAAAGTTACTTCAGAAATTTAAGTTTGGGGCAAAATATTTTCTTATGTGTTTTAGAGAAGCCAAAGTCACCGAAGTTTTAAAAGTTAATACATGCTTTACTTAAGCCAAAAGTCATTGAAGTTCAAAGTGAATCTTCAGATTGAATACTGGATCTCTGACTGAGTGATTCAAGTACTCTTGAGTGATTGCTAATTGGGTTTTTGTGCTAAAAATATGAATCACTGACACAGGATTCTAGAATACTGTCATGTTGAGGGACCAGTGCTGATTGGAACATGTCGAATATGTTCTGCACCAAATGTGCACCCTAACTTAGATGATCACCTTTGAAGTGCTAAAGAAGGGCTTCAGTGAAAACCGTAAGCAACGAAGCCAGTTTCTGTTGACATGGTAACTTCACATGGAAAACTAAATGGCCGTTTGAGTGGCACACATTCCCATATGTCGTGTTTTACAATGTTGGGTCTTTTCTCCTCTCCAAATCTTATATTTTTAGGTAAATAAAGTTAAACAAGAAAAAGCGGTTCTAAATTCAGAAGTTCTCGAACAGAGAAAAGTCCTAGAAAAATGCAACAGAGGTATGTCTTTCTACTCTCTTCTCGAACACCTAAGTTATTTCTTTTCTTTATGTATATTTGGTGTCATTTGAATACTGGTGCCTAGAAGATCCTTGTATCCAAAATCTTTTCCTAGATTTTGTTTTCCTAAGAGTGAATCTCTCTCATTCCTATTAGTTAATCCTTGGAGATACTTAAAAGCATTTATAAGTGATTTCTGTTAAGGAACTCAAAACCCATTTATTTTGAAACTTCAAATGAAATATAAATACTTTTTCTTTCTATGTATATTCTGGGATCAGGACCATTTTTTTCTGTCCCCTCAGTGTTTGTATAGTTGGTGGGTTATTTAGTAAGTCTGAATCCAGAAGGGATTTGAATATCTACATAAATATGTGCAACGCAATAGGATAATGTTTTAAATTAACAGGATGTGGAAAGTGGGCCAAAGTGAGGCTGAGAGCAGAGCCTTACATCCAGACTGCATCCTTGCTCTGAGGTCTTGCACATTTCCATTTCGTGTGTCTGAAATCTGGCTCTGAGTTGTTCAGCCATCAGCACAATGTGGGATTGATTGATGACCATTTAAATGCATTAAATGTTTGCAATGGCTGCTTCCAAAGAAAACTATATAACTTGGTCAACAGCGAATTTATCATGCTTGTAAAAATGGCATCAAGTCTAATGGGGGCTTCTTCTTGTCTCCCAGTTTAGGACAGGGAGTGATGCTAAAGCACGGTTCTGCAAAAGTAGTGCTAAGGGAGGGGACAGTTTGGGTCCATTTTCTGATGCTGTAACACAATATCAGAGGCTGGGTAGTTTATAAAGAATGTGGGTTTATTTAGCTCCCAGTTTCAGATATTCAGGAACATGGCATCAGCATCTCTTTGGCTCTGGTGAGAGCCTCTCAGGATGGGGTCACAGCATGGTGGATGGCATCATGGGGGAAGTATAGGATGTGAGGGAGAGAGCTCATGGCAAGACAGGAAGCCAGCACCCAGGGAGGGTCCAGACTTGTGTTTTAGTAACAACCCACTCTGGTGAGAACTTGTTCCATGAAACCGGCATTAATCCCTTCTAGAGCAACACCCCCATTGACCTATGATTTGAGCTCACCTCCTAGGGGTTCCACTAGGAACCACACTGGGGACCACGCTTCCAACACATGAACCTGTGGGGACAAGCCACAGTGGAGAATTAATACGTGTTCTATTCTTCCCTTTTCCCTCAGCTACTTATTTTCCTAGTTCAGAAGCTCTAACACAAGCAGGAAACCTTTCAGACCCAGGGCTTTCCACATTGTCGGTGCTGACGCCCAGTCTTGGATGTTTTGAATAAAAGACCTTGTAGTTAAGAGCAGGAAGTGGACTGTACCGTAGCGTTTCTTCAGGTGCTCCTTTATTTACAGATGGAAATAAATGGTGTAGAAGAACTTCTATTCTTGAAACACTGTGCTAGAAACAGGGTTCCCCAGGTTTAATCACAGGGCTCTTGACTTCAGAGAGTCTCCCCACCGAGGCAGAGAAAGGGGTGTGTGAGTACGTGTGCCACTGGGACCAACCTGACTTCCATCAGAGTCCAAGTAAGGGTCCTGGTCATGTGAAGACTTGTAGTTACCATAGTGTTCTGGACATAGAAAAGTGCGTGCATTATCTTGCCCAGGGCTTCAGATAGGCATAGTCTTCACTGTGAAATTTCTTTTTTTTTTAAATACGTTCAAAAATCATTTAGCTCTCAGGGACCTGTAATTCACATCACAAACCACCACTTACATTACTTTACTTGAGTAAGACTATTCTGCTTTCGTCTGAGGAGGCAGTAGATCTACAGAGTGCAGAGTTTGAAATTCTATGTCATTACGCACCAAACCAGTCCTTAGTCAGTTAGGATTGAAGTGCCCGGTAGAACGGTGTGTAAAAACAGCCATTAAGAGGGCCTTTTGAGAGATTTTATTGATATGACTCAGCTCGGGACTGAGGGGGCTTCACCAGAAGCAGGCAGAGGCTGTGCTGTCTTTCTGGGTTGTACCAAATTTCTAATGGTGACGTTGCTTCCTCCATCCTGACTGTGTCATCATTTAACAAAGTAGGCCACTGAATGTCAAACGTAGTGAAGAATGCAAGTTGCTTTTATTCAACAGGAGCTTCCTTTGGAAGGTTTCTGTCCTATAGTCATTCTTTAATACAGAGCTCTGACTCCGGGCCTGAATGGATCTAAAGCTGTTAAAAATAGGTTACATTCCTTTTTTATTAGGTAATAATATACTTTTTTAGTAGAAAATTAAAATTCATAGAGGAAAAGAAAAATCTTAACCCTTATAATCCAGAGATAAGCACTATTAACATTTTATTATATATTCTTCCAATTAAGCAAGAACTATATACATATACATGAAAATGTTTGTTACATGTGTTCATAATGTCTATAGAATACAAAAGAATACCAGTAAAAGAAATCTCTCTCTCCCTACTGATACCTTACAAGCCCATGAGCATACTTTGCTTCTCATCCCCTCGCTAGATCATTTCCTTTCTCTCATTTGTAGCTTTGCTTGATATATATGTATCCCTACACATCGTTTAATTGTGCATGCTTTTCCTCTTGATATAAATGGAATCATTTTACATACAACCTGAACAGTTCTCTGTGTTTGTGAGAATCCACCATGTTGAAGGATGTAGTTATGATATATTTATTTTCACTACTATATAATAGTCTGTTAGATAACTGTGTCAAAATTTGTTGAACCAGTATCTTGTTTTCAGCTCTTTGAACCATTTCTAGGTTTTTGCCATCAAAGTCATGCTGTTATGAAAAGTGTCCTATCTGTCTGGAACATATGTCCCACGAGTTTCACCAAGATATGCAACCAAGTATGAAATTTCACCTTCAGTTTCACCACATATGCCAAATCATAAGCAGATCTACTAGTTTGCCCTTCTGTTAGCAGCATTATTTGTTCCATTGTTTTGAATCCTGTCCATATGTAGCATGGCCACACGTGTTCAATTTTACCAACACCTTCTTTGATGGATACACAAAGGCATTCCTACTTTGCTTCTTCTGAGTCCTAATGAACATAAAACATCTTCCCACACAAAGGTCCACCAACCTTTTATATGCTTCCTGCTCTGTGAAATGCCTACAATGTGTTTTATCTGTGCCTTTTAAACACAAAAATGAATTAATTTGTGTTACTTTTTGCAATTCATTCATTTTAAAATATATACGTGATTGTTTCTGAATTTTCTAAGTGTGTATTTACAATATAACTTTGACTGCAGAGTAATGGCGTTAGATAATATCAGTGTTTTCAGCAATGACAATGACAGCATCCTTGCAACCGGAGCTCTAGTATATAGACTTGTGATTTAGTCTTTTAGGATGCATTTTCCGAGAAGTGGAATTGTTCAGTCAAAGGGTATGAATAGTTTTTGATTTTTGATTCCCATTGCCAAACCGCCCTCCAAAAAGCTCTCATGAGTTTATGCCCCACCCAGGAATGGAGGAGAGGCCTCTAGGCTCTGCTGTTTCTCACTGACATTGCTGGTAATCGGTGCTGATTCTGCCTGTTTTCCTTTCTTCCCCTGTTGAAGTGTCCATGTTAGCAGTGGAGGAGTACGAGGAGATGCAGGTGAGCCTGGAGCTGGAAAAGAATCTGCGGAAGAAAGCAGAGTCGTTTGCACAAGAGGTGAGTATGTTGTGCAGACCTGGTTCTTTATTTTTGCTTCTTAAGGGACTTTGAAGATGACATATGAAAAAAGATTTTGGAGTACACTCAGACAGGAGGAATAAGTTTTTGTGTTTACAGTATAGTAGGATAATTATAGTTTAAGATAGTTTTTATATATTTTGTAAAGAGCTAGAAGAGAAGCATTTTAAATGGTAAAGGAGTAAGGAGATGGAAATGCTAACCACCTGGTTTGATCATTACACATTATATACATATATTACCATGATCATGGTGTACCCCATAAGCATGCACAATTACTGTGTGTCAATTAACAATAAAAAATGTTAGGAGCCAGGCTCATGCCTATAATCTTAGCTACTTGGAAGGATGAGATCAGGAGAATCACAGTTCAAGGTCAGCCTGGATAGATAGTTTGAGAGACCCCCATTTCCAAAATAACCAGAGCAAAATGAACTGGAGGTGTGTCTCAAATGGTAGAGTGCCTGCTTCACAAGTGCAAAGCCCTGAGTTCAAACCCCAGTCCTATAAAAAAAAATGTTTTGAGGTTTCATGAGAACTTGACAGTTCAAATAAAGGACTACCTAGAAGCAGCTCTGGCCTAGTGTCAAGTTCACTGAAGTTGATGCAGAAGAGCTGGGTTCAAGTTTTGACCATGTTATATGCTAGTCCTATGGCATCAGAGCAATTCGTAGCCTCTTGTGACTTCACTTTCACCATCTATACGATGGATATTGATACACACTGAGTCAGGTGGGTTTTAAAATCAAGGAGAATATATTTTTTAAATGTATTTTGGGAACTATAAAATGCTGTATAGGGGAAAAGAGTTGTTTTTAGAGATCCGCATAGCTCATGGTGAAGGCCCAGCTTGAGTACAGGATGTCTGCATTTCAGATAACCTTGACATTCGGGCCACATCTCCATGTGGCATCTCAGGTCAGTGTCATGGTATTGGCGTTCCTCTTCAGTCTTTGTCTGCACTCTTACTGGGCAAGTTGACTCTTCCATGGCCCATGGAACCCTGCCATGTCGTACATCCATTATCGCAGCCTTTCACCAGTATAATGATTCCCCTCTCATGTTAGAGATAAGCTTTGACCTTCTCTAGTTGCACCTGACCTTGTTGATACACAGTTGCTGGGTTAGTCCATGGCTCTAGGGCTGGTTTCCAGGGGAATGGTGAATTACTGGGTGGCTGAATCCTGGTGTGCAGCTGGTCTGTAATAAGAGCTCCATTCTGTATATATTTTGAACCTGTGTGCATAGTATGGGTTGAAGGAAGTAGCCAAGGAAATGTAAAGTAGTCCTAGGGAAAGGTATCCAAGGAGTAGAAGGAAGACGTGATGTTACGGAAATGACATTTGAATATCAGATTATGGGTTTGTATGGGGGTCTTTCTGTGCTTGAGTATAGCGGTGCTAGTAATGAACTCTATAAAAGGTTTAGTCCAAGTACATCTGATTTGAAATATGACTCATTTTATTCAGAGAGCTTAATGAAAGGTGAGTGAATACTGTTTTCTATTTACTTGTTAGAAAGAAAAAAAGAACTGAAGCATATCAAGCACTGTGGCAATAGCTACAGCAGTAGAAATAATACAACTAAATAAACAATGGAGGAGGAGGAGAGGTGGGGATAACGTGAAGGCACCTCCATTGCAAAGCTGAAAAGGTCTGCTGCATTTGACCCAAATGCCAGGGTCTTATCTCAAGATATTTTCAACTTTCCATATGCTGTTCGTAAAATGACTTTTTAATACAAAGCAGCTAAAGAAAAACTTGAAGGCCATGCAATAGCAGGGAGGACAGATGGGGGAAGCAAGATTTCAGTAAGATTGTATGAAAGTGAATGGTTTACTCTGCCATTCACCTGGTAGGGCGTTAAGCCCTAGTGATGGGTAGGAACAATGGGACTGCCGTGTTAACCCAGCAGGAGCAGGTAGATGTCTATGGAGAGACGGCAAGAGTAGTGGGGCTTATGTTATAGCTAGCATAAATATTTGCAATGGCACCTGACAATTTAAAAATATCTAGCTTTGGTCTACATAATGGTAGAAGAAAGCTTTTTCTTTAATAATGCTCTACTGAAACTAGTGTATTTTCCCTTTTTCATGGATTGCAGATTCTCAGGTTTTCAACAGGTAGTTCTGCTGAGAGGCAGGTGGGTCCCCCTCTGATATGGGGTCCCTAGTGCCTCAGCAGCAGCCTTGGACTGTGTCAGACACGCTGCCGATATGGCAGTCAGATGCTGGAGAAAGCAGACGTGAGCCATGCCCTTTGGAATTTACAATGTAGGGTTTTGGAAATCAATTATTACAGTTTATTTACTTTGTATTTTTAGTTGCAAAAAGGATATTTATACTTGTTCAAATATAAGCAATTCTCAAATGTGCAAAGTAACAATGGAGTGTCTGTCTCCCTCACTCCTATTCTTACTAGCTGATTTCAGACACAAAACCAGAAACATATTCCCCTCAGCAAGATAGACGTTGTCTTTACACTATATTTAGTGTTTAAAATTTAATCGACATACAATTTTTAACAAGACTTTATACTTTTAAATGTATTTTTCTTGCTGTTCAGTGTCGTTTTTCTTTTGTTTTTAAAGATACAACATGTATTCCCAGTGAACTATAAAACTGTAATAATTCTTTTTTTCCTTGAATAACTCAGGTAATATTGAGGTGTAATTTTGAAGATAATGAATTATACATTAACAACATAAGGTTTTCTACTCATTCTCACTCTGAAAAGATTTATGAAATTTTTCAGAAACTCTGATACCTGTGTCATTTGTCTGATAAGAGACCAACTTCCTAACTCTAACGGATGAGCTCTTACCACAGCTCAAGGCCAAATTCATTAGTGTTTGGTAACTTAATTTTTCTGTGATACTTTTTTAGAAGAGGAGTGATTTAGAGTTTTTAATTTTAGTATCTAGATACTAAAGGCAGTATAATGAGTATTTTTTTTCAAGTTACCCATGTTAGTTAAGAAATCTCCTATATATATTTTCCTCTTATAATATTACAGTTCAAGGATGGTGACAGGGTTTTCCCTAAGACATCTTTCCTTTTACTGTCTCCAAAATGAACCAGTTGAGGTAATTTGTATTCACCTAATGTTGAACGAGTTTTCCGGAGCACCGTCCTTTTCTCCCAGCAGCCCCTTTGTGTTCATGGGGAACATTGCAGGGAGCCACTGGGTGTTCCTGCTCAGTGGTTGCTGTGCCTCTTTGCCCAAGCACAAGTAGTAAAAGGAAGCCGGGCCTTGCTCAGTTATCGTTTACAGGCCTCTCCTGGCAACTCCCCGAGGTGCTTTCTAACACACTGGCAGGGTCCCTAGCTAGTCAAGTTTTAGGAGGGAAGCATGTATTGAAAAGAAAGTATTGCAATAATAATGGTAACCGTCAAATAATTCAAGACACTGTGATGAAATGTTGATTACTCCATGTGCAGTGGAGCTTCTCAGTCCCTTCCCAGCCTAGCACATGTGCACATGTGTGCACACACACTCACATCTCCAGTGCCTCTCACACCTACAGAGATGAGTCAAACAGTGGAGGAATGTGGGCTTCCTGTACTGCAGAAAATTGTTTATTTCCCTGTTTGACTTTGCAGTGTGTTAGTTTTGTGGAAGAACACTATTGTAGCTTAGTAGGCTTTTGCAAATCCCTGCACAGGCCAAGAATGAGAGCTCTTGACTTTTTTTTTTTTTGATATACTGAGAAAAAAATGTGAGCATTTTACTCTAGTGTATTCATGACTTGATTTTGACTTGGGAATCAGTAATCAAGGATTAAGCTTAAGGATTGTAAAAATCATTAAAGCTGTAGTCTTTATATATGGAGGTTGATAGGAAATGTTTTTTTTTGTCTTGAGTTTCATTTGCTATTTGCTGACTTTTTCTGTTATCTAATGAAGTTGTCAAACTAAAAAGTGTTCTGCAGCCAGTCATTTTACAGTGCAGATCTTAAAATTAAGCTACAGTGTAATTTTTTAAATGCTGTTAAGTAGCTGAAAATGGGAAGCTCTGTGATTCAGAGATTTCAGAGTGTGTGAAACAGTTCAGTTCATAAAGCATTTCACGCTTGGAATCACCCACTGACCAACTTGGTTATGGTACAAAGGAAAAAAATGACAGGTGAATAGAAAGTAATGTTTTCAAGGAGAGTAATATATGAAAATTGCTTAATAAAATTTTCAATAGATACTAGTCTACTGCTCCTTTCTCTCCTTTACTTTCCTATTATGAATCACTTTCATCACTGGGGAAAAGTTAATTGGCATAAAGCAAAGCAGTAAATCTAATTAATAGCAGAAGAGATTAGTGGTTAAGAGTTTGGGCTTATAAAACCAGACAGGTACAGGTTTCAAACCTGATCTTGCCACTTATGTGTGTCAATGGTAAAGTTACATACCACTCTGAGCCTAGTTTTTTATCAGTAAAACAAGATGGTAACAGTATCTATTTGACAGTGTTATTCTAAGTATTAGAAAGTGAATGTAAACTGATTTCCACTGTATGTATCACACAGTGTTTACTAAATATTACCTGTTCATAGCAGAAGCATGTAACTTACAGGATTAAAACAAAGCATATAAAATATTTAGTATAGTACCTGGCATAAGATAAGCTTTTGTTACTTATTAGCTAGTACTGTTAGTATTAATGTATTTTAAAGAAATAATAAAATACTAAAAACTGAGGTATAGGATCAAGTTAGTGTATCTATACTGTGTTTGGGGTAGAGGTAAAGGTACTGAAGGTTGCTTAAAAGTTAGGAATGAAATCATGGTAATCACTCCTCCTAAAACTGTGATATGATTCAGAAATGTCCTTTGATATCTTCATAAAAATGCTGCATACTTTCCTTTTGCTGTAGCTGCAATCATGGAGATGTGAGGGATGGTTTGGTATATACTTTTTTGTAATTAACTTTTGCAGATGTTCATTGAACAAAACAAGCTAAAGAGACAAAGCCATCTTCTGCTGCAGAGTTCTGTCCCTGACCAGCAGCTCTTGAAAGCCTTAGAGGAGAATGCAAAACTCATTCAGCAACTCGAAGGAGAGAGAATTCAGCATCAGCAAAAGGTAACATTTTATTCTGGAGTCATAGACAGACTCTCTCTCTCTCTCTCTCTCTCTCTCTCTCTCTCTCTCTCTCACACACACACACACACACACACACACACACATGCACGCACACATGCGCGCACACACACACACAGAACACACAGAAATAATTAAAACGAGAGGAATCAGTACGGTCTTTTATAGTTTATAGCTCATAGTTCCATATTTTGCCTTACTGGTTAATTCCTTTTAATCATCATTTAGAAAAAAATAGCTATCAAGTGAATTTAATGTATTGCCCAGCTAAACACACTATTTTAGATCCTATAATAATCTTGAAGCTGATCATTGAAGAATGATCTTGGAGAAGCAAAGGGAAAAAGATGCTTTTAAAATGTTTGAATAAATGCATAGTGTAGAAATCTGCTTTTTGGAGAAATTGTGGTTTTTAGAGGCAGCATGCATTGAGGTAGCTTGTTGAAGGGCATAGGTCTTATTCCAAGAAGTAGGGAAAGATAAGTTCATGTTAGTAGCCATTGTTTGCTTAGAGAAAATTTCTGATGGTACAAATTTGCACAAATGTATATGTTTAAAGACTGCCTACATGGTTATTTTAGTTTTGTAGCTCTTCCACCTGACAGCCCTCCTCTCTGCTAGGCAGAAAAGACCATTATTTTGGTAGGTAAGAAGGAACAGGGGCAGAGAGAGGGAAAAGGTGGAACAAAGACTTGCATGTTAAAGAAGCCACTTCAGAAAAATTGCATCAATATTTTTGCTCCTTATAATGGACCTAGTTCGTGGGAATAAGTGAAAACACTGTTAGCTATATTTGTTTTCATGTGTTAAATCTGTCTGGGAGCAATATAGACATGTCATACCTGGTACTGCTGAAGTTTTCTCAGAGTTACTGGTGAGGTTCAGATGATTTTTGTTTCTTCACTGAGAAATGCTGGCACATGTGCTGAGAACCACTGGAAGGATGGATGGATGGATGGATGGATGGGTTGATGGGTGGGTGGGTGGGTGGGTGGATAGATGGATAGCTAGATGGATGAATAGGTGGTCATAGTGATTGTTCCTGGGAAAGAGGGCTCAGAAAGAAGGTAAGTGGGGGGAAGGGGCAGAATTTCTTTCTTTTTTCTGTCCCCATGTACAGAATTACCTTTTTACATAGAGAGAGAGAAAAAAATGTGCTTTGTTTTTATCAGCTTATGCTAGAATTTAACTTTTGGTTTTGAAAAGTCCAGCTACTGGCAGTTAACTCCTTTAGTAAATAATGCATGCCTAGAACTTACCAAATTGAACTGAAGTATAGGACTAAATTGTTTTATATGTACCTTGTTGGGGAAGGGACAGAGGTACTGCAGATTAAAGTTGTGAATGAAATGCAGCAATCACTACTTCTGAAACTGTTACAGTATCCTATGCATTTATTCTGGATAATCTTGGCTGAAATATTTCTTACTTACGTGTGAGTTCCTTTGTACATTCAGCAGTCTTTTCAGCACTGTTACATTGTTTTTGAAATTAAAAAAATGATCTATGCTCCTTATAACAAATTTTTGAAATATAGAAAAAGTTAAAATGAAGATTATCCAGGAATCCCATCTTTTGGTAGATACCTAAATTTTATATAAATATATCATTTTATGAATATATATAGTTTGTTTAAGTGGAATCATACCATGCGTACTGTTCTATAACTTCTTTCAATTCATAATATATCTTCTCAAGTCAGCATATAATAACCTATGTGATTTTAAATGGTTGCATAGTATTTCACTGAATGAATACAGTGTAATTGATTCAATCAACAGTACTGGTGGAAAGTTAATTCATTTCCAGCTTTTCACTGTTATAAAGAAACTTTTTAGTGAGTATATTTGCATATTTGCCTGAAGGTGTCTTTAGTGCTGGGGATGGAACTCAGAGCCTTGCACATGCTAGGCAATTGCTCTACCACTGTGCTACATCCTCAACCCCTGTCTGAGTCTATTTTTTAAACCAATTTCCTAACAGTGGTGTTACTGGACCAAAGAGCCTTTCTGTCCTTTTTTATTGTTGTTGTTGTTTTTGAAGGTTACTGGTACTTATTTCAGATTGTAACTGTGACTCCCAGGAGAGTCTTTTTTGTTTGTTTGTTTCCTTTGGTGGTGGTACTGGGGTTTGAGCTCATGGCACTGTGCTTGCTAGGCAGGTACTCTATCACTTGAACAATGCTCCCAAGCCTTTCATTTTAGATATTTTTTGAATAGGGTCTCACATCTAGGCTGGGATGTGCTGGACAGTGATCCTCCTATTTATGCTTCCCATGTAGCTGCAATGATAGGTGTGTGCCACCATGTGCAGATTTTTATTAGTCGAAATGGGGTCTCACTACTTTTTGCCCAGGCTGACCTCTAATCATCATCCTCCTGATCTCAGCCTCCCAAGTAGCTCAGATTACAGGTGTGAGCCCCTGCATTGGGCCCCCAAGGGTGTTTTTAAATATTGCCTAAATTTTTCTCTTGAAAATGGGTGTAGAGGTATTAATCTGTTTTGAATGAATTTTTAGGTATTATCTTATTTTTAGAACTCACATTTAAAAATTGTAATGTCTGTTATATAACTCCTCAGTAAATCTATATTAAGTCAAAGAGCTGATAATGATGTATTACCCATTTTTCAGTGGGTTAGGATCTTTCTACTATGAAGCGCAAAGCTCCATGAAAATACTTATTTTTCCCTTTTTTTCATTGACAATGGAAAACCTACCATCCCATTAAAGTTTGCGTACAATTTACAGGTCAAAGAATTAGAAGAACAGCTAGAAAATGAAACCTTGCACAAAGAGATCCATAACCTCAAGCAGCAGCTGGAGCTTCTAGAAGAAGATAAGAAGGAACTGGAACTGAAGTACCAGAATTCCGAGGAGAAGGCCAGGAATTTGAAGCATTCCGGTAAGAGCATTGAGTAGGTTCTTCTGTCTTCAAAATTCACCTGTGGTCTTTCATGCCTAGGACAAAGCCTGGCCTAGAGTTAGCACCAAATGCTGTAGAAAATTACCATATTTGTTTTTAATTTTCTTCCTTTCTAATTATCACAGTCCAACAGAATAACCTCTGTATTCAAACGATTCACAAATATTTAGACTTCTTTTTTGGTCATAGAGCATTTGTGAGTGTCCTGTACAAAATTAACACACAAAGCTGCCATTAGCATGGCAAGGCCAAAAATGTCAGCATTTCTCAGGACTTCAAAGATGAGTGTTCAGTTCAGTTCTTAATTTTGTTCATTTTAGAGTGCGTTTCAAAAATGAATTGAACTTTTTTTTTGTAATACTTTCGTCTTTGGTGTTCACACTCCCTTCATCTTTGGTGTCTAATTATACCCGTGAAATAATACTTTCTATGTCACGCCTAACAATGAAATGGGCAACAATACGTATATTAAATGGAAAAACTTTTAAAACACCAGGGATGCTTAAATCAAAGGATTTATTCATTCAGTGCTAGAAGGCTTACAGGAATGTGTGAGTTGGATTACTACACAGGCATAAGTATAAGTCTTGGTGAGAAGGCAGGTAATTTAAGGGGGCAGGTCCATTCCCTTTATAACAGCTGCGGTATTCACTTCAGATACTTTCTGTTAATTTTATACTAGAATTTGAAATCTGTGCAGAGGGACCATGTAGGCTTTTTCTTTCCTTTGTTTTGTCTTTTTCTTTTTTTGGTGCTGGGATCGAACCCAGGGCCTCACGCATGCTAGGCAAGCGCTGTACCACCGAGCTACATCCCAGCCCCTTTTTCTTTCCTTTTAAAAATATCCAGTGCTTTTTAATAGACAATGAAAATTGATAACAATTTTTTTAAAGTTGATCCAAAATTAAGAAATTTTCCATTCTTTTTAGTGAATATCAGGGTAGCTGATAGACAAAGCCATCTTCATGATGAATGGAAGCAGCAGACATTGGGGAGATTTGAGATTCCATTTTGAAAGCACTTGTTTAAAATCTGCTGTGTGGGTAGTCCTACCTTGGGGTGCGGTAAGAAATGCAGAAGAGAAGAAACCCATGCCTTTTTTCTTTGAAGCTCTCTGAGAGCTTGCATGTGAAATAAATCCAGGATTAGAGAGCATTGTCCCCACTGCCTGTTTAAGGGTTGAAGGTGAAAGCAAAACTCAGTCATGGACAGAGCCACCTATCACGGAGTACAAACAGTATTTAGTATCTGTCACCTATTAGGTCATATTGTAGTGGATTTTTTTGTCTTTTTGTCATGCTGGTGCTTGAACCCAGGACCTTGTGTATTCTAACCAAGTGATGTACCACTGGGCTACACCCTCCTGCCCTGTGATAGAAATTTCAGTTGAGCCCTTTAAGGTCAGGAACTGCACTGTGTCTGCAATAGCACTATTTTTTTCACACTGTTGGTACTTAATAAATGCCTAGCTCATTAGTGACTTGAATGAATAAATTATTTTTCTAGAGTGCTCTTCAAAAGAGCAAAAAGTTTCTTAGTTGTAGGCATTTAGGAATCTGAGTCTGCTTAAAATCAAGAACTCTAGTATTTACAGTTTTTAAAAGAGACTAAACGGAGGAGAGAATGCCATTATTAAAATTCATTGCTAAATGTCATCTTAAAAGTAACTCTCGGTCCATACACTCTCAAAGTTAAGTATTAACAGTTTCTTAGTGTTTGAGTAGAGCACTCCGTTGTTACAAATATTTCTTCAACCTACTCAATCCTTACTTCCCACCCCTTAGCCATTGTCTTGGATTCTTTTCTCTTTTCCAAAGTTATACATTCCGGAAAATGATAGTAACGTTGTATTTTAACAGATGGAATACATTAATGATAGACTAGATAATAAAATGTTTGTTTAAAATGCCACAGTTTCATATGGAAATTTCTGTTTGCCTTAATAAGAAGCCTTAAAGAGAAGTTATATTTTTTCTTTTACTTGCATAAAAGATGTGTAGTTGCTTATTTCTGCTCTCTTCTGTACACTTGCTCCCTGTACAGTGGATGAACTTCAGAAGCGAGTGAACCAGTCTGAGAATTCAGTGCCTCCTCCACCTCCTCCTCCACCACCTCTTCCTCCTCCACCTCCCAATCCAATCCGGTAAGCACAGGCAGGGCCTGCTCTGTACTGGACATTGCTTCTTGGTTGTGAGCCTGATGATAAAGCTAGTGTATTCTTTCCTTTTAAATACCAGCTTAGGTTGCATCATTAGAGGAACCCACAGAAACGTAAAAGATAGAGCTGGTGTTTCTCTGGAAAATTTCCTAAAGGAAATTTCCTGTAATAGATATAGTATGGGCCTGGCAAAGAAATTCTTGTAGCCTAAGGTGTTCTTCTGTTGTAGACTGTTCCAAACACCAAGAGGAAGACACAGTTTTTTTTTTCATCTTAGATACCCTAGTTTTAAAATTTCATTCCATAACATTATCCTTTCATTGCAAGCCCCAATTTTGAGTGTCTCCAAAATGTTTTCATCTTTTTCTCTCACTCATTTGAATTTGAAAAACTCTAGTTTATTCATTTATTTTTAAAATAAAAGCACGAAATTAAAAGCAAAACCTACTAATTGTTATAAACTAATAATTAACCTAAAAGTACTAAATATTTTTTAATCCCTATCCTCATCGTTACACCTTAATAATGCTGAGAGAGGATCCTTTCAAAAGTAAAACTGACCATGTTTAAGTTCTTGGGAAAAGAAGTCATATATGCAGACAGGAATGACATTTTTCTGAGAGCCTAAGCTGACTTGATGGATGCTTCACTGGAGCGTAACATGCTCCAAGACGACCTAGAGTCAAGTTTTGCCCTCTCTGTGGGTCTATACACTGCCATCCAGACCTACAGAAGATGACCGACCTACTGACTTTGGTGGTCACCTACCTTCTTGGGTCATGATGTCAGCTGCTTCTGAGTAATTTATTCTTGAACAAATGGCATTTAAACTTTTGCTAGATTTTTTTTAGCTTTCATTAACTCATGCAATTTGGTTAATCCTTTCACACAGAGAGGCCATTTATTCATGCCTTGCACCTTTGCTGATCTATCTGAATAGAATGTGTAGCATGTTCCTCCCACACGACTATGAAAATAGGACTTTGCCTTTTAAAAAGATTCTCATTACTTTTCCTCACTGAGTAGGGTATGACATAATCTACTTAAGGTATTGAAGTAGTTTAAGGCTAAATAGTTTTTACACGTGATCAATCCAAGAGTCAATTGAAAGAATTTCAGGTATTTTAAATTCTCTCTTTCCTGGGTAGCTAAATCTCTAGGTGATATTCTGAATTTGACATCTAAAATTGGAAATTCATCACTTTGATCTTTCTGTAAGGTGTAGAATTTTGAGCTAATAAGAAAGATCACATCTATGAGAAGGGAGAACTATTAAAAAACAATTACAATCTTGCTGTTGGCCTTTAATTTTTAGTCTCAGAAATGTTGAGAGCCCCTAGAATTAAAAGTAAAGTAATTTTTCCCCAAAGAGCACTTTACAGTTATACCCAGAAATGAACGTGAGAGTCACAATTATGTGTGTCTCAAAAACTCTTTTACAAGGCCCTTTAAAGAAAATTGTTATTGAACAATATGAATAGGTTTTATCTTAAGATGAATTTAAATAACATGGGACATAATTTTTCAGAGAAAAAAATTTTTTGGTGAGCAATACTTTTTTGTCAAAGAAATATATTTGCATACGTATTGAGTTTTGGTGGACTTTGAACTCATCAATCAAGATTTCCCAACTTTGTTCCTGAGCCAGTTGTTTTACCATAGTATAGATCACGGATATAAGGGAAAATGACCAAGGTTGGGGGAAGACTAGTAGGGTCTATAGCTTCTTTTAAGTGGCTTTGTGGCTTCTTTCCTCCTCATCCCCACTCATTTGTCCCAGAGGGCAGGTAGGAGGGAGGAAAGAGGAAGAAGACAAACCTGGGCCATTTTGTTCTAGAGTAGTAAGAGGAAGGCAGGTTCTGGGCAAGAATGGCTCATGGAGCAAGCACCCACAGATGTGTGTGTGTGTGTGTGTGTGTAGACACAGACACATACAAATGCAGTCATGTGTTGCTTAACAGTGGGAGTATGTTCTGAGAAATATCTTATTTGATGATCTCGTTGTGTACAAACATCATAAATTATGCTTACACAAACTAAGATGATGAGGTGATATGCTCTCATGACACCACTGTTGTCTATCACTGAAATGTCATTTGTGTTTGTTACAAGGAATCTATAGGGTGAGTTGGCAAGCTCGGGATCCAAGAGAGCTGATAGGTATAGTTCCAGTCTGAGCCTGAAGGCCTGAGAAACTATAGTGTATTTCATCCCAAAGGCTGGCAGGCTTGTAAACCAGGAAGCAGGACATAGCAGTTCAAGTTTAAGGCAGGAATAAGCTGATGTTCCCATGTGAAGGAAGGAGGAATTCTTATTGACGGGAGGGTATGTTTTTTTTATTCAGGCCTTCAATTGATTGGACAAGGCCTACCCACATCTGGGAGGATCGTCTGCTTGTCTCAGTCTACTGGTTTAAATGTTATTTTTATCCAAACACTCTGTAGAAACACCCAGAAGAATGTTTGACAAAACATCTGGGCACCCTTGGCCAGTCAAGTTGATCCATAAAACAACCATCAAGAAGAATATTTCTTAAAGAACTGCAAGATGAAAATTCATCTCTGAATTATTCTATCTTAGAGTGACAGTAGCTTCAAGCTTTTCAATTGAAATGGTGGTGCAATGAGGCAGTGACAGTCAGAGGTTTGAATTACTGTCCCCAGAGGTCTTGGAATCCTCTCATCTGTCATGTAGCCCCTACCCCATCTATTTTCTCTGTAGCCTAAGCCCTATCTTGACAATTGTTTTTTTTTTTTTAATTTAGAAAAAATTTTTTGGTGACACTGGGGTGTTTGAACTCAGGGCCTCACACTTGCTAGGCAGGTGCTATACCATGTCAGCCACTCCCTCTGCCATTTTTTTTGTTTTAATTTTTAGGTAGGGTCTTGTGTTTTACCATGGCTGGCCTCAGATGTGATTCTCCTACCTATGGCCTCCATTATAGCTGAGATCACAGGTATGGACCTCCCCAGCCCAGTTCATTGATTGAGATGGGGTCTCAGTAACTTTTTTGCTCAGGTTGGCCTCAAACTGCAATCCTCCCAATGTCTTCTGAGTGGCTGGAATTATAGATATGAGCCACCACACCCAACCTACAATTAGTTCTTTTTTTAATATGACAGATGATTTTCCTCTGGGCACCACTTGTCCCTAATTTATGCTTCAGCTGTGATCGTTGTAAGGAACATTTTCTGCCATCTACTTAGGTTATTTACAATAACGAACACAGATTCTTACTTCACAAATACGTTTAAATACTCTGAGCAGCACAAATAAATTTCTACCTCATCATCTTTGTGTACGATAATGCACACTCTCAAAATTCCCTTTCAGAACCAGAAGTGAGGTCACTACAGAATAGTGGGGTGACAGGGAGAAGAGAAGCTTCTGGTCACTGAAAACCTCACCTTGTCCACCCTGCCACACATAGTGACAAATAGACTCTGAATCCTCTTGGCATTCAGTTGACAGAGTAGAAAAATGAACAAGTGAGGTCTATGTTATTATTTCATTCCTTACAACTTTTGGAGTAATGTGTGCTTATTTCAAAGTTCTGCATAAATTAGAATGTGTAATTTTGGGACCCTGTGAATTCCAAGAAGATGCACAAGCTCAGTGGTCAGTTGTTTCCCAGGTGGAGAGACCTGGGAATGTCACATGGAAGAAGAGGGTGTAGTATGGTTGTTTCTTTTATTGTGCTCTGTGGGAGAGATTGTACAGTGTGTTTGGCAACTTTAAGAAAAGGCAATTAGAAAGGTGATTAATAATATAACCTAAGAGAAATGAAAAGTAAAAAAAAAAAAATCTAAAACTCATACTAATTAAGAAACATTTGGGCTGGAGATATAGCTCAGTGGTAGAGTGCTTTCCTAGCACTCTAGGCAAGGCCCTGGGTTCAAACCCCAACACTGACAAAAAAAAAATTAAATAAGCACTAGGTTGGAAGGTCCTCTGAGCAAGCATGTATCTGTATATTCATCCATTTCTTTTTCCAAAGGAAATGTTCCATTTTCTTGTCCTTCAGGTCTTTGGTTTGCCTTGTCAGTGTCCCCAGTTGTCTTCCTATGGGCCATATTCTGGCAAGTAGAGTTTGCCACACTGAGGACACTTACAATGTAGTTGAAAGAACTAAAAAATTCTCAATTCGTTTGTAAGTTGTTTATGGGGGAATTATTAACACATGCAGAAATGTACAGATTTATGCACATTTTAAAAATAATATGATGTATATATCTAGGTATTAATTGCCTTTCAAATCAAGAAATAGGACAATACTGGCACCCTGGAATCCTTTCTCAAATATATCCCCCTCCCTGACTCCCTATTCCTGTCCTGATTTGTATAGTAATCATTTCTTTGCCTTTTTTAAAGAAAAAATTTCTTGCCTATATACATTCTATAGGGGTAGATAGGTATGGTCCCTTTTCTAGCTGATATAAAGGTCATAGCTGATGTTCGTATAACAAAAGACGAGAAAAGCACAATTTACTTGAAGTATTACCTAACACAGGAAGCTTCCATATGAAGCCCTAAAGAATCAGAGAAAACTCTGTTTTTATGCTTAGGCTTAGTGAAAAGTGAGTAGCCCCAATAGAAAGATGGTGAACAAAGGGGTATAAGGTGGACCGAGGTGGGAACCCAGCCAGGTCTCTGTGTTCAGATTCTTCGTGGCCTGTCTGTGTAGCATTTCTTCCTCTAGGGTATAAGGCAAGAATCCTCTGGAATGAGGGTCTTATGATCTGCTGTCAGATAAGGTGTATCAGCCAATGTCTTTATGGCCAGCTCCTGCAGAAAGGCAGCAAAGTTAGAGTAACATTTCTTCTTCCTGTGGCCTGCACAGGGAAGAGGAACTCTGGCTTTATTAATGGCTTCTGGGAGATTTAGGAGAGGTGGGAGACAGGAGGGCAATGAAAGGTCAGAGAGAGACCTTTCAAGATCTTCCAGTGTCCTTCAGTTTAAAGTAGTAAGCATGCCAAAGTGTCATACTTGAAGTATTGTGCTCTGAGCCTCAAAGGTCTCCAAAGTACTGTAAATATCTTCATGGCCTGTTTTTGAACTTGATGCCATTGAAATTGTCCTACATTCATTGTGTCTTGCTCTCTTCAGTCCATTATTTGTAAGATTCTCCGTAATATATTGTGTAGTTGAAGTTAATTGCCATTCATTGGTATGTAATCCACTTTATGAATGGCACAAAATGTACTTAGCCATTGTGGACATTTGAGTTATTACTAGTTCAAGGAAATTATAGAAATCCTATGTGAACATTCTTGCACATGTATTTGGTGTACAAGTGCTTGCATTTCTGTAAGGTAAGTAGTAGTAGCCTCACTGGCTCACAGGCTATGTCAGCTCTCAGTTAATGCCGGTGTTCTCAGGCGGAATGGCGCTGTCACTCTGCAAGCCCTCTTCAGTTAGGGAACTCCTCAACCCCAAGACTTGGTGTTATCAGACTTGAATTTTTTTTGCATATTTGATGAGTGACTAGTGATATCTCAGTGTGGATTTAATTTGTGTTTCTCTAATAATTAAGGAAGTCAAGCACCTTCTTTTTGTATGAGTATTGGAAATTTGGATGTCTTCTTACGGTGTTACAAGATTCTTATACATTTTTATTGGGTTGTCTGCTGGTTTAAGTTGATTTGCAGCGTTTCTTTATATATTCTATAACTTTTCTTTTTATTCTTAAGTATATTTTACTATATAGAGGTTTTTAAATGGTCTGATTTTATATAGGTTTTAAAACATGGACTAGAAATATTAGTGATATAAATATGTTTTATCCCCAACTATTTGGTCTACATCATGCAGAGTCAGGTGTTTTTGTGCATTTGTGAAAAATGCCCATATTTCACAAGTAGGTATTTACTGATAGTGTATGCTGCCGTGCTGGGTTGAATCTAGTCCCTTGATCACTCTAGGCAAGCACACATCCCCAGCCCTGCCCTGCTTTTTTAATATGAAACATTCGCTAATTCTTCCAGCCTTCCTCGTCTCTCAAATGTATTACATAGATAGCTGTTTCTGAATTTTCTATACACATATTGAAATGTTTTCCTTTATAAATATGTATGTGTGTTAGTAATTACAGTAGTTCCCTCCCCACAGTAATTAGTTTGGTTTTACACAGAAAGGGTGAGATCTACTTCTTTTCTGTAAGGTGATGAAAAATTTAGTATTGTAAAAAATGTAAAGTAGACTACTTAAATTCTATTTAAATAGTCACTCTCCCAGAGGAGAGTTGGATTGTTTGCCGACTACTTGGAATCCATGCGTTTGATCTGTTGGGTCCTAAGGCATCCATCCAGTGATCTGTTGATCTTTGTCTTCCTCCCAAAGATCCCTCATGTCCATGATCCGGAAACGGTCCCACCCCAGTGGCAGTGGTGCTAAGAAGGAAAAGGCAACCCAACCAGAAACAAGTAAGCATCGTGTCCTCCGGGTTCTTTTAAGCTCTTGTTGGTGCGTCACTTTTCAACAATTTACATATTCGTTGAGGTCTTTGGTTTGAATGGATTGTTGAAAGAGAAATGTAAAGAACAGCTGAAAGAAGGAACCAGATAACTGCCCTTGGGATAAACACGTGTGCACATCACTGTAATGAGAGACTCAGGGAAATACGTTTTCATTATGGAACAAATGCTTCCCGGGAGAAAGGAGAAGGAGAATTTCCAAATGGGGGACTTGGGGAGAGACTTTTTAGAGTTGATAGCAAATGGGCTGAGACCTTGTCGAGTATTTACTATGAGCTACCCCCACCTAAGGGACATAGAGTAAGCGACTTATTTGTAGCTTAATTACCAGTGATTTTGACCAAGTGCAGTCAAAATAAAAAAAAAATTATAAGAAATTTCAAAAGCAAAAATTTTAAGTTCCCACATGCACATGCTCGGTTGATGTGGAGAAGCTCTGTTTGTCCTTACTATCATTACTTTTGTTTTAAATTATTGTGTGATCTGCTGAGTGTTCTCTGTCCTTCGTTTTTTGAAATCTGGCTCCCAAAAAGCAAATGGTGCCCCAAAACAAAGTAAAAGTAATAAGTGTTTAAGTGATCAAGTGAAAATTTTAGATCTGTTGAAAGGTGACAGTATCAAAGGCAGTATATAAGAAAAATGAATCAAGCATCTGCAGTACTTTTCTCAACAGTGGTCTCCTTGGAACCATATACTGCAGATACCAGTGGTGTGCTGTACAAGACGTAAACATTACATTCTAGTGTAAACAAATGACCATCCAAGTAAATATGTAGTTATTTAAAAACAAGTTTTGGTTAAGTGCTGTGGAAGAGTTCAGGGTTCTAAGAGATTAGGACGGTATCTCAAGGTGACCTTCCAGCATTTAGAACACCAGCTGGGCCTGTTTAGGATCAAAGTGGTCCTGGTAGTGGTGCAGCAGTTTCAAAGATCTCAAGTGGGGGCAGGAGCTTGGGCATTTCAGAAACGGAAAAGTCACTGCTGTGGTAGAAACATGGGAGCAAGGGAGGAGGGCCGAGAGGTTGGTGGGAGCCAGACTCTGCAGGCTATAGTCAAGATTCTGAGTTCCTCCTAAAAGCTGGAGAAGTTTTAAGTAGAGATGTGTCATAATGAGGCTGATCAACTTTTAAAAATCATTCTGGCTGCAGCCTGGGAATACAGAGCAGCCGACTAAAAGGGATGGGAGTAGATAAGAAGGGGACATTGCAGCCATTCAGATAAATGTTGACAATGGCTTAGACCAGGTGGTAGCAGTAAGGGATAGAAAGATGTAGATTAATTCAAGAACTTCAGAGAGGCAGAATGCAACAAGACTCGGGGAGTCATTGGAGATGGAGGTCAGGAGGAGATGAACTGGAGGGAGAAGGGCAAAACACCAACTGGCTGGGGCAGAGTCCTGTGAACAGAACCATAGGCAGTTTGGTATGTGGCCACTGTGAGAACAAAGGCATCGAACACTGGGACAGAATCTCCGTCCTTTGTGCCTGCACACTGTGGAAACTAAATTAAACTCAAAGCACCTGTTAGTTACAAAGCATTGTGGGTTTGCCTGGTTGGAGGCCAGATTGACGTAAGCTTCTTCTTGACCCCCTTTCCCTGCTCCAGTTCCAACTGTTCACATCTCACTGGTGGTGTGACATTCTCAGATCTCAGGACTGATCTTGCCCTACATGTTATGACATTCTGTGCCTCCAGCTGCTTCAGATCAGAGCCCACATTCCCTATATTCTGCATGTGGAATGGGTCTCTGCTTTTTACTTTGGCCTAATTTTCATATTCTGCCCTGCTTTCTGGCTGGAGCATTTCCCTCTCGGCCCACCAAGCATTGAACGTTCTGTCCTCATTTCTTCAGAATTGCCCTCCAGCCCTCCCTATGGTCAGAGCCTTCTCAGGCAAGGTGCTATGTATTCCACATCCTCCATGCAAGTTCCAGGAAGATCCCTTGTGTATTCCAGCTCTCCTCCTTCACCTCCTCCGACTTATTAGTAATTATTAATGAGTGGCTCATTAGATTTCAAGTTCTGTTACTTTAAGGATTTAATGTCCTCCTCCCAGCTTCTGCTCTGGACTCTGGTGCTTGTGTTAGATAGCAGAATGGCAAAGCTCCTTGTGGGTTTATTTTCTCTGCAGTCCCACAGCTTCGTGGTTAATTGAAATGAATGAAAGTGTTGGATTGTCTTGTCTTTTTATAGGCAGAGACCTTTCAAGCACCATTCACACAGGAACGCTGATTTCATCTGTGAATCAGTTCCAAGTACCTGTCCCCGATGCTCTTGGGAATCTATGCCTCTCACGAAAGGCAAGTTCTGGCTTTGCATGAGGCAATTGGCAGGATTCCAAACGCATTCAGCCGTTGGGATTTTTATGGGGCCCAGCCTTGGCTCTCAAGGTTACGGCTGTTGTTTTTCTGACTCTGCAATTTAAATATTGTTTTCCCTATTTTTCAGAGGTACCCTTAGAAGGATCAGGAGGGAGGTTAGTCAGAATAGGAATCATCTTCCCGTCCACAGAAGAGCAGTTTTCAACTTGTCAACTCAACAAAAAACTAAAATTAATTTTTTTTCTTTAAAAAATGATTTCAAATGGAATGAAGCAAGTCCTCAACTTTTTTTTTTTTCTTTCGGCTGTACTGAGGTTTTTGAACTCAGGGCCTTGTGCTTTGTTAGGCCAGTGTTCTATCTCTCGAGTCACGCCTCAGCCCCTTTTCTAGAACTTTTTATTTTTTTATTTTTTATTTTATTTTTTTAATTTTCATTATTCATATGTGCATACAAGGCTTGGTTCATTTCTCCCCCTGCCCCCACCCCCTCCCTTACCACCCACTCCGCCCCCTCCCTCTCCCCCCCCAACTCCCACCCTCCCGCTCCCCCCTTCAATACCAGCAGAATTACTATATTTTGCCCTTTATCTCTAATTATGTTGTAGAGGATTATATTAGCAATAATGGGAGAAAGGGTTTTTGCTGGTTGAGTAAGGATAGCTATCAGGGCATGACTCATTGATTTCCTGTGTGCGTGGGTGTTACCTTCTAGTTAATTCTTTTTTTGATCTAACCTTTTCTCTAGTTCCTGGTCCCCTTTTCCTATTGGCCTCAGTTGCTTTTAGGTATCTGCTTTGTTCTCGCGTTAAGGGCACAAATGCTAGCTTAGTTTTTTAGGTGTCTTACCTATCCTCACCCCTCCCTTGTGTGCCCTTTTCTTTTTTTATCATGTGGCTCATAAGTCCAATCCCTGTTGTGTTTGCCTTGATCTAATGTCCAACATATGAGGGAGAACATACATTTTTGGTCTTTTGGCCAGGCTAACCTCACTCAGAATGATGTTCTCCAATTCCATCCATTTACCAGCGAATGATAACATTTCGTTCTTCTTCATGGCTGCATAAAATCCATTGTGTATAGATACCACATTTTTCTTAATCCATTCGTTTCAGTGGTGGGACTCTTGGCTGTTTCCATAACTTGGCTATTGTGAAATAGTGCCGCAGATAAACATGGGTGTGCAGGTGCCTCTGGAGTAACAGTGTCTTTTTGGGTATTCCCCAAGAGTGGTATTGCTGATCAATGGTAGATCGATGTCCAGCTTTTTAAGTAGCCTCAAATTTTTTTTCCAGAGTGGTTGTACTAGTCTACATTCCCACCAACAGTGTAAGAGGGTTCCTTTTCCCGCATCCTCGAACACCTGTTGTTGGTGGTGTTGCTGATGATGGCTATTCTAACAGGGGTGAGGTGGAATCTTAGTGTGGTTTTAATTTGCATTTCCTTTATTGCTAGAGATGGTGAGCATTTTTTCATGTGTTTTCTGGCCATTTGAAATTTCTTCTTTTGAGAAAGTTCTGTTTAGTTCACTCCCATTTCTTTATTGGTTCATTAGTTTTGGGAGAATTTAGTTTTTTAAGTTCCCTGTATATTCTGGTTATCAGTCCTTTGTCTGATGTATAGTTGGCAAATATTTTCTCCCACTCTGTGGGTGTTCTCTTCAGTTTAGAGACCATTTCTTTTGATGAACAGAAGCTTTTTTAGTTTATGAGGTCCCATTTATCTATTATGCTTTCTTAGTTGCTGTGCTGCGGGGTTTCATTGAGAAAGTTTTACCTATACCTACTAACTCCAGAGTATTTCCTACTCTTTCTTGTATCAACTTAAGAGTTTGGGGTCTGATATTAAGATCCTTGATCCATTTTGAGTTAATCTTGGTATAGGGTGATACATGGATCTAGTTTCAGTTTTTTGCGACTGCTAACCAGTTTTCCCAGCAGTTTTTGTTGAAGAGGCTGCTATTTCTCCATCGTATATTTTTAGCTCCTTTGTCAAAGATAAGTTGCTTATAGTTGTGTGGCTTTCATATCTGGGTCCTCTATTCTGTTTCCACTGGTCTTCATGTCTGTTTTTGTGCCAGTACCATGCTGTTTTTATTGTTATTGCTTTGTAATATAGTTTTGAAGTCAGGTATTGTGATACCTCCGCATTGTTCTTTTGACTGAGTATTGCCTTGGCTATTCGTGGCCTCTTGTGTTTCCATATAAATTTACAGTAGATTTTTCAATCTCTTTATGAATGTCATTGGAATTTTGATGGGAATTGCATTAAACATGTAGATTTACTTTGGGGAGTATCGACATTTTTACTATGTTGATTCTACCAATCCATGAGCATGGGAGATCTCTCCACTTTCTATAGTCTTCCTCAATCTCTTTCTTCAGAAGTGTATAGTTTTCCTTGTAGAGGTCTTTCACATCTTTTGTTAGGTTTACACCTAGGTATTTGATTTTTTTTGAGGCTATTGTAAATGGAATTGTTTTCATACATTCTTTTTCCGTTTGCTCATTGTTAGTGTATAGAAATGCTAATGATTTTTCTATGTTGATTTTATATCCTGCTACCTTGCTATAGCTATTGATGATGTCTAGAAGCTTCTGAGTAGAGTTTTTTGGGTCTTTAAGGTATAGGATCATGTCGTCTGCAAATAGGGATATTTTGACAGTTTCTTTACTATTTGTATTCCTTTTATTCCTTCTTCTTGCCTAATTGCTCTGGCTAGGAATTCCAGTACTATGTTGAATAGGAGTGGAGATAGTGGGCATCCTTGTCTGGTTCCTGATTTTAGAGGGAATGGTTTTAATTTTTCTCCGTTAAGTATAATGCTGGCTGTAGGTTTGTCATATATAGCTTTTATAATGTTGAGGAACTTTCCTTCTATTCCTAGTTTTCTTAGAGCTTTTATCATGAAATGATGTTGGATCTTATCAAAGGCTTTTTCTGCATCTATTGAGATGATCAAGTGGTTTTTGTCTTTGCTTCTGTTAATGTGGTTTATTACGTTTATTGATTTTCGTATGTTGAACCACCCCTGCATCCCTGGGATGAAGCCTACTTGGTCGTGGTGAATAATCTTTTTGATGTGTTGCTGAATTCGGTTTGCCATTATTTTGTTGAGGATTTTTGCATCAATGTTCATTAAGGAGATTGGCCTATAATTCTCCTTTTTGGAGGTGTCTTTGCCTGGTTTTGGGATAAGTGTAATACTGGCTTCATAAAATGTGTTTGGCAGTTTTCCTTCCCTTTCTATTTCATGGAACAGTTTAAGGAGGGTTGGTATCATTCTTCTTTAAAGGTCTGATAGAATTCAGCAGAGAATCCATCAGGTCCTGGACTTTTCTTTTTGGGGAGACTCTTGATTGCTGCTTCAATTTCATTTTGTGTTATAGGTCTATTCAGGTGATTAATTTCCTCTTGGTTCAGTTTTGGATGATCATATGTATCTAGAAATCTGTCCATTTCTTTTTGATTTTCAAATTTATTTGAATATAGGTTCTCAAAGTAGTCTCTGATGATTGCCTGGACTTTCCATGGTGTTTGTTGTTATCTCCCCTTTTGCATTCCTGATTCTACTAATTTGGGTTTTTTCTCTCCTCATTTTAGTCAGGTTTGCCAGGGGTCTATCGATCTTGTTTATTTTTTCAAAGAACCAACTTTTTGTTTCATTAATTCTTTGTATGGTTTTTTTGGTTTCTATTTCGTTGATTTCAGCTCTTATTTTTATTATTTCTCTCCTTCTATTTGTTTTGGGATTTGCTTGTTCTTGTTTTTCTAGGAGTTTGAGATGTATCATTAGGTCATTGATTTGGGATCTTTCAATCTTTTTAATATATGCACTCATGGCTATAAACTTTCCTCTCAAGACTGCCTTAGCTGTGTCCCATAGGTTCCGGTAGGTTGTGTTTTCATTTTCATTGACTTCCAGGAACTTTTTAATTTCCTCTTTTATTGCATCGATGATCCATTCTTCATTAAGTAATGAGTTATTTAGTTTCCAGCTGTTTGCATGTTTTTGTCTTTACTTTTGTTGTTGAGTTCTACTTTTACTGCATTGTGGTCAGATAGTATGCACGGTATTATTTCTATTTTCTTATATTTGCTGAGGCTTGCTTTGTGCCCTAGGATATGATCTATTTTGGAGAAGGTTCCATGGGCTGCTGAGAAGAATGTATATTGTGTAGAGGTTGGATGAAATGTTCTGTAGACATCTACTAGGTCCACTTGATTATTGCATATTTTAGATCTTGGATTCTTTATTGAGTTTTTGTTTGGATGACCTATCTATTGATGATAATGGAGTGTTAAAGTCTCCCACAACCACTGTGTTGGCGTTTATATATGCTTTTAGGTCTTTCAGGGTATGTTTGATGAAATTGGTGCGTTGACATTGGGTGCGTACAGATTGATGATTATTATTTCCTTTTGGTCTATTTCCCCTTTTATTAGTATGGAATGTCCTTCTTTATCTCGTTTGATCAATGTAGGTTTGAAGTCTACTTTGTCAGAGATAAGTATTGCTACTCCTGCTTGTTTTCGGGGGCCATTGGCTTGGTAAATCTTCTTCCAGCCTTTCATCCTAAGCATATGCTTATTTCTGTCGGTGAGATGAGTCTCCTGTAAGCAACAATTGTTGGATTCTTTTTTAATCCATTTTGTCAAACGGTGTCTTTTGATGGGTGAATTAAGTCCATTACATTAAGTGTTAGTACTGATAGGTATGTGGTGATTCCTGCCATTTAGTTATCTTAGTTGTTTGAAGGTTTGATTGTGTGTACCTAACTTGATGTTACTCTCTACTGTCTTGCTTTTTTTTTCCTGTGGTTTGGTGCTGCTGCCTTTTCATGGTTAAGTTGGGTGTCACTTTCTGTGTGCAGGATCCCTTGCAGAATCTTTTGTAATGGTGGCTTTGTGGTCACATATTGTTTTAGTTTCTGCTTATCATGGAAGACTTTTATTGCTCCATCTATTTTGAATGATAGCTT